ACAGCAGCAGCAGCAGCAGCAGTCTCTTAAAAAAAAGATGTAAATGTAGAAGGTGGAATAAAAAAGAGAAAAATTGATTGCCGATTTTTAATAAGATGTCAATAATTTTTTTTTTTTTCTGTTTATGGATTATGAAAAGCACAGTTTTTTTTTACACCTGTCAAAAACTTTATGTTTTTGTCATATTTATTTGTTTACATCTCTGCTGTTTTTTTTTGCTTTCGTTTTTTTAAGACATTTACTTCTAATTTTTATATGGATAAAGTAGTTGATGGGGGGCAGAAAAAAAGAAAGGAAAAACCTATCCCCTTTTCTGGTTTTTCGACGTTAATCGAAAACGCACAAAAAAGGCAATAGTTTTTTCTTTTTGACCGATAACCATTAATACAAAAAGATCAATTTGGCCAACTCAAAGGTATACTGAATGTTTCAGAAAAAAAGCATAGTAACAACTTGAAGGTATAATCAGTGACATTTGTTGATCGATCATTAAGCCCAAAGGAGACAAACCAAACTATAATTGATATTAATCTCCTTATTGCTGCTGCTGTTACTGTTGCTGCTGTTGCTGTTGCTGTTGCTGCTGCTCCCGATGTTGTTGCTTCAGATACTGATGTTCCTGATGTTGATGTTGTTGTTGTCAAATTAAATTTACTGAAAATTAATGAAATTTTATTGAATAATAACATAAAATTAAAAAGAAAACTACATTATAAAAATTTTAGATCGTCTTCTGTGCTATTGGAATCGCTGGTAATATGTTAAACATATTTACACTAAGAAGCCCTTCGTTACAAAGTGTGCCTTTTATGTACATAAGAGCAATGGCCATCTTTGATCTCGTTAGTTTTTACTCTGTTTTTTCAATTTATTAATCGTATTCAACGAATAACGCAAAAAAAGGTTAGTATAGGGAAAAAAAAAAAAACAGAGGCTTATGGTTTGCTTTTTGTTTTTTTTGTTTTTTGATTTTTTTTTTGTTTGTTTTTACCATTAAAAAAAAATGAAGCCATCTGTTCAGAAACATAAGATTTTTTAAAGATTTTTTTTCAAAGACTAAATTTATGTACTCTCTTATTTTTTTCACTCAGCAACAATCGTTGTTTCCTAGTTTTTTTTTATCGGTCTTAACAACCTAATAGCAGCTGTCTGTTGTGACAGTTGACAAATTTTTTGTTGTTCTATTCCATTATTTGCAGTATAAAATACATATTTGATGCAGTAAAAGGTTATGTCTTATATATCGAGTTAATGTTCACATTCTTTTTTGCAGTTGTCTAAACTTAATGATCGGTTTTTACAACAGTTTTTTACCAGTTTAGAAGACGAAATATTTCATTAAATTAAGAAGCGATGTAATTATAAAGCAACAAGAAAAAAATAGGAAAGTATCAGCAGATAAGTGATCCGATGTTGATAAAATTTGTTGCTAAATAAAACTGGAAACAACTTTTGCTATTAGTATCCAACCTATTTTGCCTGTTTTCTTCTCCTCTTCTTCTCTA